AGTTTATATTTTCTGGTGTTGACCAGATAATAAGATATCATTCATCCAAGTCATTGTTCTTGAAATGTTTAGCTTTAGTAGCAGAAGACATAGTATCATTACTAACAAAAACATTGAAATATTACACCAGTTATAATATATATAATAAATAAATACAGGGCAGTTTTTTGAAAAAAAAATCCCTACAACACACAAGTGCAGTGGTTCTCAAACTGGGGGGCGGCCTTCCCTCAGGGACCAGACCTAAACCTGTGATCTTCTTGCCTTAGCTGACGTGATCCAAACTCACCTGTGCTGAACTCAGTGACAGCAGAGTCACTCCTCTGAGATTCTTTTATGGCATGAACTGCAACTGTGTAATGGGTTCCAGGAACCAGTGAACCCATCTCAAACTCCACGGTGTTTCCAGAAACCTGCTCCATCACCGACGACACTGTGGGGAGAGAAAGGAAAACAATAAGGTTTCGATGCAATCAGAAATCGATTAAAGCTGGCCTCACTGTTTATTTTAAGTTGAGAGGACAGGAAGAGCTCGCCTGAATCAGCGGTGTAGCTAATGATGTAGCCATCAACAGTGGCCACAGACGGCTGCCAGACCAGCAGGGCGGACGTGTCGGTGACATTAAGGGCAGTCAGACCCTGAGGTCTGTCCAGAGCTAAAACACAAACAGAAACATAAAGGAAATTGCTCTAATTCTATTTTCTAAGGAGAGGATCAGATGTTAAGGTCTTATATAAAACAAATTGACATGTTTTGCTAAGAAAGGGTGAGTGAGAATTTCACCTGTGGTGACTGTGTCAGTGCTGGCGTCACTTTCCTCCAGACCTTTGACAGCAGTGACTGTCACCTGATAGGTTTTGCCGGGGATCATGTTGTGCATCAGAGCTTCAAACACACTGCCGTCCACTGTCACTGTCATCGGACTTCCTGTGTGAAACAAAACACAGGCTGTGACGCACTCAGCACCGTCACGGTGCAACTGTGTGAGGCTGGGAACATCTATTGAAAAGTAAAGGAAGTAGACAACCATGCTGCTGCTAATGTAAAATATTATTATTAACATTTCTCTATGTAGACAAAGCCTCTCTGATGGGAGTGACATTCAAGCTGACATTTAAGAAAGTCAGAATAACTACGGTATATGTTTGTAAACAAGATGACTGCAGGGGAGAACAGTTTATAAAGCTGAGATCTCTGAAGTCTCATTCATAAACAGTAGCTGTGGTTTGGAACTGAAGTGAAAACAGTTACAACTAAAAGGAACAATTTATTGGGTAGTTAAAAAAACATCCATATAATATAATATAATATAATATAATATAATATATTTTCATTTAAATGTTCTTTTTAGCATTGGCATTTTAAAAGTGAATTGTCTTTCTGTTTAGCAAAGACAAAACAGGCCATGCATAGTAATTTGACAAAATGTTTAGAACCACCATGCCTTTGTTTGTCTCTTACCTCCTTCAAAGGGCATGTAGGCAACACGGTAGCTGTCCACCAGAGAGAAAGGCATCGACCAATGGACTATAGCCGTGGAGTCGGTCACCTGAGAAAAGTGAAGGCCTCGTGGAGTGCTTAGGCCTAATGTTAAAAAAAAGAAAGACAAATACAGATTAATGAAACCTAGAGAAAAAGCATCTTTTTGAACTCATGACAGATGCTTTTCCACAGCAGACTTCCAAGAAGCTAAGAAGAGCAGATGCTATGATGTTTGTGAGTGGTTACAACAACTCTCAGTAGATTTGTTGTTTTTCCTATACCTGTCTGAGCCACCCCAGTGATAGGCTGGGACCGTTGGTCCAGAGTGACACCATAAAGCTCGATTTCATACTCAGTGCCACTCATGAGTCCGGCTAGGACCTTGGTTCGCTCGTCACCACTGACGCTGTACTCTCGAGGGTGAGCTAATCTTTTGCTGTCTCTTATTTTGATCACAAATCTGTCAAACATGTCTTCATCAGCCGCCCAGGACAGACGGAAGCTGTCAGCACTGATGTCAGAGACGAAGAGATGATCCACCTCAGGCTCTGCCTCTGGTTAGATAAAGGAATAATCAGGCACAAAGGATTCTGTGAAAATGATCTGGAATGAAGACTTTTGACCAGAGAAAAACGAAACAGAAAGGTTTCCTTCTGAGCAGAACTCTGCCACACTCTGACCTCTGTTAGTAAAGACGAGTCAACTCAAAGAAGACTAGGCCACAGAGAAAGAAAAGAAAAGGCAGCTGGTGTTTTTGATAATGTGTTATGACTGGGACAGAGGTTTCATGCGTCTTCAGCCTCGATGCACTGAAAGAAAATGAAACATGTAAAGTTCGACAGACGGTTGTATTCCCTGTTCTGTTCAGTTATAATGATAAGATAAAAGTCGACTTCAAATCAACAATTTGTTTGTTTTGATTTAGAGCCATCAAGGGGTAAAGTTAAAATTATGAAAAGATGTGAAAACAAGAAACAAGACAAACGCACAGATTTTAAAAGAAGAAATTAGCAAGAGCTGAACATTTCATCCTGCGGAGACAGAAAAGACTCAAAACAACTGGAAAGGAAAGATCATTCTGGAAAAAAAAAGAGTTAATTTTAGGGTTAATTTTCAGCAAAGGGTTGAGGTCTTACTACAAAATAACACAAGCCAACATCATGAACACATTTTGTATTTATGTTCATTTTTGTCTTGTTTTTTCAATCTGATTATTAAAAAAAAAATAGAAATATAAAATTAAAGAAGTCTGTGAGAACGTTGTTATGGCTGAAGTTTAAGGTAAGGGGAGGGGCCTTGAGGTGGACTATGGTTGGTACCTGTCACAGCCACTGTGGTCAGAGGTCGAGAGAGAAGCCCTGACTCTGACACTCCGGTCAGTCTGACCTCATATCCTATGCCGGTAATAAGGCCCCAGATCTCCAAGTGACTTTGGTTTCCCGGTACAGTGAACTCCTGAGGCTCCAGCAGCCAGCCGGAGTCTGTCACCACTATGAGAAAATGGCTGAATCCCCCGCTAGAGGGCGGTATATCTTCCTGAGGCTGGTGTTGGTGCTGCTTCTGCTGCTGCTTCACCTCCCACGACACACGGAAGCCGTAGGGCGTTATGTTGGATATGGTCAAGTTTTCCACTTTAGGCAAAGATGCTGACGGGGGAGGGAGCAGGGGGGAGGTTTTGTTATTTTCATGAAAGAAAGAGATGTGGGAAAAGATTCCATTAGGAGCATAATGTGGGTTCATGAAAGAAAGAGATGTGGGAAAAGGGACAAGATTCCATTAGGAGCATAATGTGGACAGTGATTGCAAAAGCAAATCATCAAATCTGATGTTCTCAGATATGACAGGTTTATCAAGAACATTGACAGAATTTATGGAGACCACTTCATCGAGGGGGGGGTTTCTGCCTCCAGAAATTGTGCTCTTTGAATAAAAATCATTAAATTTAAACTCACGTAGTGTAGTGTCCTAATTTATAATCAATCAGTTCTCAATGAAACCTGAAGGCAACTGGAATAATAATAAAATATCGAAATGTTATATTAATTTAGACTATAATAATATAGCTTTTTTTTCCTTTTTTTAAAAAAAGGGTCCTTTCCTTATAAAGAAAAGAAAATCCAGAATTGAGGAAGTCCATATTTGTAAAACTACCTTATAATGTACTTAAATATTCTGAAATATTGCAGTTCACTTGTTGATGGCCAGTATGACGTGTTTCACGTAGTACCTGTGACAGCATTGGTTAACACCGAGGGAGTGTGGCGCCCGTGAGAAATACCATACAGTTCAATGTCATAGTCAGTTGCATCCATCAGGTTTGAGATTGTAATGTTACGGTCGTCACCCGAGGGTCTGAACTCCAGCGCGTCAGACTGGTGCTCAGAGTCACTGACCCTGATAACAAAACCGTCAAAATGGCCTGACACAGTGCTCCAGGACAAGCTCAGATTATGTGGACTCACAGACGAAGCCGAAATCAGTCCCAACTTTGGGACGTCCTCTGAATAAAAGACAGAAGATGTGCGCTCAGTTACGAGTTCAAACACCAGCATGTGTGTGTGTGTGTGTGTGCAGAAAGGTGGACGGTGTGATACCTGTTGTAGCTAGAGCAAACAGAGGCTTTGTGCTACGGCCACCACTGCTAGCGTACAGCTTTATGTTGTAGCTAGTGCTCGCTTTGAGCCCTGCCATGACAGTGGAGCGCACATCTCCAGGCAGAGCGCGCCCCATGGCCTGAGAGGGTAAAGCGGACTCTCTGACTTCTACTATAAAGTTATCGAAACGCTTCTCCCGTGTCCGCCATGCCAGAGAGAACCGGTCTGAGGTAATGTTAGAAACAACCAGCCTGGACAAGTCAGGCTCTTCAGCTACAAGGGAGAGAAAAATGAAGTGTGTGATCATTTACCTAGATAGAAGATTAAACTAATTAGTCTGTCTTTAACAAAAAAAATCTAAAGGTAGAGTATGCAAGAATTTACTAGGAAACAAATAAGTTAAAGTTGATTGTGCTACTTGGCAAGTTGTCCATCTAACTTGATTAATCATGAAAAATCTACAGCTTTACTGTGATTAATCAGATTAAATTATTAATTAGATTTAAATTTTTAATCTGACTAATCACAATAAAGCTGTAGATTATTCATGATTAATCATAATTGTGTTCATCCTTTCATACGTGTGTGTATGATCTGTCTCAATTTGTGATAAATGCAAAAGTATAATTCAAAATATTACTTTCACAGAGTTGATGGATTTTAGTCATTCTACATCTGGACGCCTGTAAATATATCACATGTGAAGTCATGGTCCTCAACAATATTGATCAGTCTACAATCCCTTCCAATCCATTTGACAGTTGTGTCTGTCAGTTTGTCAGCCACAGAATTATTTACTGCCTTGCGCTCTGCGGCTGCTTCAACACGAGGCTAGCGTCTAACCTCGGTGCACAAACGTTTGCTGGCCGTTACAAGGGTATTTCAGGATCACGTTTTTTCCAAAGTGCATGTTAATGACAAAAACTGTGTATTAGAACAACAATAAGTTGATGCACCTCCTTATGTCCATGCATTAAAATGTGATAAGATTTTTTTTAAATGATTGATTTCAGTTATTAATTAATTAAAACATTTTGACAGCCCTAGTTTATTAAAACCAAGCCATATTCAGGTAAGAAACAAACACACATTTGAGCTGCGTTAGATTTACATAAAATGATACTAATAATCATTATCATTTACAATGATTTAGACTGTGCACCTAAACTGGATTTCTAGCGCCCTCTGCAGGGAGAGGGATGGATCCAAATTCTCCATATTTACCAACATTAGTCCAAATTCCTGAATACTCTACCTTTAAGCATGCGTGACAAATCTCTAGTTAACCTGGTGTAAATATATCTGTAGAATCGAAGTACCTGTTGATGCAACAATAGTGACAGCTCGTGTTCGGGATCCCTTGTATGTCCCATAGAGGTAGGCTATGTAATCAGTGCTAGGCCGGAGCCCAGTGACATCATGGGACTTAACATTGCGGGAAATGTTAAACTCCACTGGCTCCATCAACCAATCAGAATCAATTAACTCCAGGATAAACCCATCAAACTCTGCCTCAGAGCTGTTCCAGTGGATTGAAAAGCTCTCGGATGTTACGTTTGAAAGATATACTTTGCCAACCAGTGGCTCTTTCACTAAAAAAAGAAATCATAATTAGATGTTGATCAAAGGTAAAACTGATGTGTAAAGGTGCAGGAAACTCACCTACACTGACCGACCCTATTTGAGTAGCTTCATAAAAGATTACACACATGCATTGGTCTGAACAGAAAGTCCACATGAAAAGTCCATCGCAGTGACTGCTGTTGATGTTCACTGAATATTTGGTTCCATTTATGTGTTTGGCAAAAGGATCCTTGCATAATGACCAGGCTAACAACTCAGTGTAACCAACAGTATTCAGTGACCATGAACAACGTACCACGAACAGTGTTGACATTTTTCATAATTTTTACGATTACAAAAATGTGTTTCTTTAAAATTAACTGTAAAAAGACAGATGTCAAAAATTAAAGGCTACGTTAAAGAACCCAAAAGCCGCCATTAAAAAACACCTGAAAAGTAACAACCGGTTTAGTGAACCTTAAATGTTAATGAAGACGTTAATACAACCACAGATGTTTTTTCATGCAAATGTAAGACAAGACACGATTGAGTGTATATGCACTACAGAGGACTACTGCAAACCCTTTGACCAAATACATGCAATCATGCAGATGTAGGGTTGAACATCATTCTAGAGCTGAGCTCTTCACTGCAGACTCAGATATTAGTGTTTTTACCTTGTTAACAACTAGAAGATTTAATCATTTGCCACCTAGTCCTTCAAAAGGAAAGAAGGATATTTACTTAGCGGTTCTGCGAAAATCAACTTTTTGTCAGAAGCACTTAATTGTCGCACAAAGTAACACACAGGCCTCACGTACAAGAGTGCACGTCCCCGGGCAAATGATCCTTGGAGGTTAATCAGTTGTACAGTGTATGAGAATGATGGAGTGAAATGGGATGATCGCGCTGTCACTGTGTGACCGGAAGGGGAGGGCGGGGGGAGGAAGGAAGTTAATGGTTTGCTTTTGCAATCATCGCAGCACATCAGCTTCAAACCTGACCACAAAGCAGGGGGAGGGCAGGGGAGCAGTAGGGGAGGGCTGGGTAGTGGCTTCATGCAGTTTTGTAATTGGGATGAAGGCAGCAGTCCAGGGTAAGAACGAACACTTTTGCTCAGCTCAGTGATGGGGCAGTGGTGCCCATCACCCGGCCCTCTCTCAGTGAGACAAACAGTGGCTGGAGGGTTCATGACACACCGGTTATGATGAAGTGATGATGATGATGATACAATGTGGCGAAGTGTTGACTAGCAATTAAAAAAAAGGATTGAGGTTTTAATTCATGCATTGACACGACCGATGTCTCACCGAACTAAAACAAAAAACTGACCTGCAGTTCAAACTAAAGGAGAGAGAGTTAAAAGACAAAAAAATGAGGTAAGTTCCAGGTACCTGTGGTGGCTTCACTGTACACAGGACTGAGGACGGTGCCTTTATACATCCCATACAGCCCAACAATGTAGCTAGTGTTGGGATTCAGCCCAGAGATTCCCAGGCTGAATGCATCTCCCGACAGTGTCAGATTCTGGCTCTGGGCAAAATTCTCCAGGTTGGTTACCTCAATGACAAAGCTGTCAAAGTCCCAATCTGTGGGACTCCAGGAGGCAGTGAAGCCGTCCCATGAAATGTCAGAGATCGTGAGGTTCAACACCCCCGGCCTCAGCTCCTCTGCTAAACAAACAAATCAGAGTAGGGTTAACAGACAGTCATAACAAGTCACTATAGGAATATACTGCATATTACTTTACTGTCACAGCATTCTACTTTTCATAGAGAAACAAAATATAATTCAAAATGATATCTTTACATTTTATAGCAAAATTGATCTGAGTGGCAGCCATAACATTTGGAACTAGTCTGAAATCCCAAAAATATATATTTTTAAAAACATCCAAAAGGAGTTTTGACTTAATTACATATAGTAAAAAAACACAGACAGTAAAATATATGCAGAAAAAATTTTAACAATTAACCATCTTCAAATTTCAACATATTCAATTGTTAAAAAGATATGTTGTATATACCTGTGGCAGCATAAACTTTAAGAGGCAAAGAGCGCTTTCCCTCCACCAGCCCATGCACTGTTACATTATAGTATGTAGAGGGCGACAAACCCACTATTTCAGCATTCTTTACATTGCCAGCTAATGTGGTCACACGTTCCTCTGATGGAGAACCCAGCTCCACCACAAAACTTTCAAACACCTCGTCGGGTGCCGACCAGGCCAAGTTAATGCTAGTGGAGGTAACGTTTGCAACCGTGAGGTTGGCCAGTAAATCCAGCTCTGGTTTTTCAGACTCAGTCTGTGAGCTCATTACAACACTTTCAGAAGTGGGAGGGGCCTCAGTGTTCACAGAACGGAGTGGATCTGCTGTTAAAACTGTGTCATTATCCAGAGCAGACTGTGTGGTTGTTGTTGCAGCTTTCATTTTCAGCGTTAACACATGTGGAGAAGTGGGCGCCGGCGCTACAAGGAATAAAAGGTAGGTTAGGTTATGAATCTGGGAATGACTTGGCAAATGGACAGAAAAAAAAACAACCTAAAAAGAAAAAGAAATGTGTTAAAAGATACAAACAAAACACAAATAAAACATATATATCATATAAACCAAAACTTCACACTTCGGCAGCTGAGCCATTAACAACATCCATGCCATTAATTTCTGAAGATTCTGAGTCAGTTGTCTTCAGATGTATGAAAGCCATGCATAGCCATGTAAGTCCTGCTCAACACAAACCTCAGAAATCACATTTGTTACATGCAAGTGGTTTATGATCGGTAGGAAACCTCTTCAGTTACTTTCCTGTGCAAGTAGGACTGAACTTGAAAACTACACATCAAAGTGGAATTAGTGGTAACAAGGCTTTCAGACAGTTACATTTAGGAGTTTCATACAGCAGGTCACCAGAGTATCAGTCATCAGAGTAGCATGACACATTGTATCTGGCAGTGATAATATCCAAGGAAATATACAGCCCATTTCTTCATGTACTGGACCTAGGGAATGCAAATTTAGCCTTGAGAGATGACAAAAGGAATCTTACTTGATGCCGAGCTGCTGAGGTAATAAATTTGAATTCTCCGATACCTTTTTGCATTCTCTGAATTTTAGCCACTATCTGTTTATAATGTTCACTGAACCCAACATAAATCCCTGCACTACTGCCTTCGTCTTTCTGCCTCCACTTTAAGGGGCCGCTAAAGTATGACTTCTGCTCTTCTCTCACCCCATGTCTCGCTGTTTACTTCAACCTAATTCAAAAAGAAGCCCACACAGATTATTGCTTCCTGTCGCCTCCTGTTCTATCAAGAAACAACTCACAATATGTTGACGCAGATTTATGCTACTGTCCTGTATACCAGTGGCTGTTGTAGTGTTAGTGGTATGAAAATGTTTTTTTTGAAAAATATATTAAAAGTGCAGTGTGTTATCATCCTTCTCGATCATTATTTTTCTACTCTGAAATCCTTATTGTTAGGGCATCATTATTATTATTGTTGTTATTGTTATTATTATTACTATTTTTAAACAAGCAACATGCTCTTTCCTGTCTATGTTAAAACAGACATTGTGTTAGACAACAAAATTATAATTATCCAAAAAGACAAATTGTGGTACCTGTTACTGCTACAGTTTCTAGTAGCACAGATCTCTGGCTACTTGTTACTCCATAAAGTTTTATTTCATACTCTGTTGATGCAGTCAGGCCTTGGATTCTAGAGCCAGTGGCTGATCCAGGGACCTTGATCTTTTTCACGTTCCATACTCGCTGAGTGTCTTTATATTCTATTGTGAAACTATGGTAAAGGCTGGGAGCTTTAAGTTTCCACGTTAGGTCAAACCCATCAGACGTGACGCCTGAAACGGTCAATGATCCGAGCTCATCATCCTCAGGCTCCATCCCGGAGAACTCAGAGAGATCTAAATTCACAAAGCTAATAACATTGTCCTCTGAACCTGCAGTAGGGGCTAGCTCATGGGTGTCTGATCCAGCTAAGTAAAATGTAAATGAGGCTAAAAAAAACAAAAAATAAAAAGGCACAAATTAAGAGGAATACATTTCAGGTGCTTTGTCTGCTCTGTAGGATGAAAATGAAATTCACAACAATCAGGTTATTGTCACCTGAACACATTAGGCTGGAAAAAGTTACAACATTGTAGCCATTTGCTCAGAAGCTAACATTGTAGAGTTGGCTGGTTGTCTACTCTTGGTGGATTGTTAAAAATGCATGATATAAAATGAAAAGTTAAAAAAATATATAAATCAAAGCATTAACATTAAGAAAAGAAACTATAGCTTAAAACAAAAACATTGAGATTTATATGACAAAAACATGCTTTTCAATCAAACGATTGTTTCAAAATATTGTACATTTTGTACAAAAACTCTCACCTGTGGATGTAGTCAAGGTGGCAGGTGGACTCTTCTTCTGACCCCTCTCTGCGGTCAACGTGAGGTTGTAGCTTACGGCAGGAGTCAAATTCAGTAAGACATGGGTCGTGGCTGTGGGTGGGATTTCCACCTCCTCCTCTTCTCCGTCTTTGGAGACAAACACCAGCCTGTAACCAGTAATTTTGGCCTGGGGTTTCTGCCACTGCAGACTCACGGAAGTCTCTGTGGTTTCCAGTTCCTCGAAATCTCTGGGAGGATCAATGTCTAACGGGGAATGAAAAAAGAAAAGGTTAGAGTTGACATTTCAACAGATATTGTAGACGAAATTCCACTGAACCTTATATGAAAAAAAATGTAATTGAAATGAAGAAAAATATTAAATGAATTAAATTTGCTCCCCAGTAATAGCTCCACGTCCACGAGAGGGGTCCAACCCCCACCTTGGGAACCACTGGGTTACTTAACTAGTCCATACGACACATATAATGTGATTAATGAAAATATTTCAGTTTGTCAGTGTTTTCACAGACTTGAACAGCTACCTTAATGCATCTCTCACCAGTTTCTGTGTTCCCAGTTGCTGGGAGGCTTTCTCTCTCATTCTTCATGGCAGTCACACCAACACCGTACTCGGTCCCTGGAATCAGACCTGCCAGAAAAATATTTTATCAACACTTTGGCAATACACGACCATTATAACCCCTAAGGCTGTGTGCAGTCTGCTTAACAACATGATTGACCCATACCAGTGATCGTTGCTGTCGTTGTGTTTCCTGGTTCTCGTGGGAACACCATTTCACCATGACCGGCTCCTGAGAGTGGGCTGTATTTAACTCTATAGTTGCTAACGTTAGCCTTACTGTTGGTCCACTCCAAAGTGATGCTGGTGTCTGTCTTGGACTTGGCCTGCAGGTCCTTCGGGGCATCTAAGTCTAAAATAGGTAACAGTAAGACACACACAAAGATAATGAAATATAATACCACTAGTGTATTATTACACTAGGACCATATGTGGTCAAGATGAAATATATGCTAGCAACAGGTCACATCTGAGCCACATGATGATAGCAGGCCATCTGCTCACATACATGTCAATTATATATTATATATTAGCCCTTTACAACTCAATATAACACATGTCATTTCCTATTGGGCAAAACAATAATCCCATGATAACAGGGCTGGAAAATAACTTTTGGGTTATACACATTTTAAAGAAAATGATTACTTTAAAATCCTTATATAAAATATTCATGGAATTCTATTTAACTGCTTATAAATTCATTCTTACAGATCATTTGAAAAACAAAAATGTATTTTTCATCTGTAAAATGTGCAGTTTTAAATTAAAACACCATGAAGCTTGAATTATTGAAAGCCCACCAGTGGTGAAGGTGGTGTTGACAGGTTCACTGGTCATGTTTCCACTGCTGGAGGTGAGTGACACCATGTACTCAGTGTCTGGTCTCAGACCATCGATGCTGTACTGCTTGTCAGGAGGGGCAATCACTGCTCTGATTTTGTCCGAGGGGTCAGAGGTGGGTCCGTAGGACATAGTGACACCGTCCACAGGTGCAACTGGCTGAGACCAGAGCACTAATGCTGATAAGTCTGTCACATCCTTCACCTCTACCTGGCTGGGGCTGTCGATCTCTGGAGGGAGAGAGTGGGAAAAATATTCAGTTATTTAAAAAAAGTTAAGATCTGTAGTATAGTAAAGTATGTAATAAAATATGATGTTATAAAAATTAATGATAATCCCATTATTCAGCGTGGACAAAGTAGGGGGCGCTAAGTTGTTGCATGGCAGGTCAAATAATTTATTTTTTTAATTTTTTGGAACACAATTCAGTCATAGGAATTAATAACTATGAACAACACCTTCAAGCCTGGAAGGTTCTGCATCAGAACCTTTAATGCCTGTGTTATAAAGATGGTCACAAAACCATTGGTTATTTAATACAGTCAGGAGCTTCTCAGAGAAGAAAATGTTATTATGTATTTTCAACCAGGTCAACCTGTCCATGAACTGTTACTGTAACCCTGAAAGTTTAAGGACTGTCAACGAACATCTGTAGAAAACCTACACATACATGCAAACTTCTATATTCCTGTGGATCAAAAAATGACCTTCTTGCTGTAAAGTAAGACCATAACCAGCCCCACACATGTAACCCTGCATGTTCTATATATTGCAATATTTTTGCATTATCATACAGTATTATAGTCGTGAAATGGTTCTATGAGAATTGACAGGTTCTCCCAAAATTTTGTAGTGACTTGTTATCTTCACATATACAAATCCATATTCATATTCATTGTGACAGGACCTTCATGGCAGAGAGGTCCTGCATGCCGTCGTTAACTGGCTCATTCAAGCCTTTTCTGAGTGTGCAGATGGAGGCTACCATCATTTTCAATTTGCCTTGATAACCACGAGCCATTAGTACCAAAGCACTGTTTATACATTCACAACTCACCAAACCCTAACCCGGTCACAAACTGACAAATTTCCTGTGTTTACATGTGGAAAAGACATCTCTCTACACTCTCTACTGTGCTAAAAGGACCTGAGGGAGAAAGAGGTTTTTGCCTCAATGCAATCATTCCGTACTGGACCACAGGTCTAGTTTCAGCTTATACAAATAAATGACATAAGAAATGAAATGGTGCGAAAGCAGGGAGAGTCCATGGACACAGACTGGTAAAGTGAATGACTTCTCCATGCACTAAGATAATTGTTTGGCCTGAACTGACTGCAGGGAGAGTGTAAAACTGTCCAGTGAATGTGCAGAGTGGCAGAACAGTTAATTTCAGCAAATGGAGGGCAATACCTAAAAAAACATGTTGTAAAAGAGCTTTTATGGCCACGTTAGACTGAAATTCAATTTGTCCGACGGACACGTAGGTATTTTATTACTTTGTGCTCAGGAATATTTGTGCTCTGGCAAACAGATTAGAACATACAGACCAGGACCTGACTTCATTGTTTCATATTCTAGAATATTCTAGAATATTCTAGAATACCAACACAGAAATGATCACAATAGTTTATGTAATAACGCTGTAGAAAGAAGCAGGTTCTTTCATGGACTCACTGGTGGTGACGGTTTTGGTCGTTTGTGGTCCTTTCGTGTTGTTCTTAATGATGTTGATGGAGACCTCGTACTCCTGACCTGGTCCGAGACCTGATTGTAAAAACTGGTTTTGATTGGACGGAAGGACGTTGACAATTTTTCCATTTTCTTCCTTCTGTAAAGAAACAGATTTCATAAAAGAATAATAAAATATTTTGTAACATGTGCAACACGTAACTGGTTTTACATTCAATTCTTTAAGACACACTTTCCCTGATTTGTCTCATGCAGCTTTTACATGGAATATTTACACTGGTGTTTAGTATCATATCATCAAATGGTCGGACATTTGGATATTTTCTCATTTATTTGCCTGATTTAAACGAGGTGTAAATGTCCCTTTGTCTCTAATTGGGTCCCTGCATTGACCTGGGAACTATTTTATGTACATGGTACACCTAAAGTCAGCTGAGACTGACTCCAGCTCCCCCTGCAGCTCTAACCAGGGTTGATGGGAAAAAAGAGTAAATACAGAAATGTTTGTTTCTTTCATAAATGACAATGACTGGATGACAAATTATTGAAAAAGAAAAAGGATAACTTAAGACGTTTTATAGTGTACTTAGACATCTTACTGCCTGGCACAGCATCAAACAAAAACCCAATATATTATTGTGGAAAAGTGAATTTTACGTCATCAAAGTTACACGGTCTGGAGAGTAAAACCCATTTCCGACTGGTTCTAAACTCTGTCGAGGCTGCATATTTCAGGAAGACCTCTCTGATGTATCAGCAAGTTTTCAGTCCCATTAAAAAATGTTACTGGATTGGATTTTAAGTAACACATGCAGCTCTATGATGTCCATTTTCCACATGTGAAAGCCATTTTAACAGCAAGCAGTGAAATTAATCCATGTCTTGCTGACACCTCCAATCAGCTGGCAAGGTTTAGAACCTCAGTAAAAAAGGCTTGAGGTTTTAACAGTGACGTTCACACTGACCGTGTTGCGGAAGTAGATCTCCCAGCCATCGAAGGAGATGTCCAGCTGGTCCCACGTCACTTCTACTGAAGTCTCTCTCACAGATTTGAACCTAATACCTTCTGCCTGGGGCAGAGCTAGAGATACCAAATGAAAAACTATTAAAATAAAAAGACATTTTCTATAAGAAGTGTCAGTTAAATCAGATGGAATCTGTGACTTACCTGTAGCGACCCTGGCACTGACAGGGACACTCCTCTTGTTGCTCAGCACGGCATAAACACTAATTAGATACTCAATGCCGGGTTCCAGTTCTTCAACAGTGGCTTTTGTTTTGTCTCCAGACACGGTGAACTCCTGGAGGAGACCCCCAGGTGAGGTGGGCACGTACGTCACCAGGTATTCCGTCACCAACATCTCATTGTTCCAAGACACGTCCACAGTTTTATGGGTGACCTCATCAACAGTAAGGTTCTTTGGAGGCGACACTGGAAAAATAAAATATAAAAATGTGAAGGGTTTCTCATAAGTTCAGTCACTGTTTGTCCACCTCAGACAGAGAACTAATGTAATCTCCAGAGTCACATCTGGTTGTGGTGTGAGGACCTGCCAAATAAGTGCAAAGAAAGTGCAGACAGGCAAGAGGCACATTGGAAAAAATAAGGTTTTTTTTTAAAGGTACAGCAAACAGTAATTGTGCAAAAGCTAAGGCAACTGTAAGTGTACAAGAAAAACTAAATTTACATTTAAAGTGATAGATGGAATAGACACAATTGACAAAGAAAGGTATTTAGCCTCGTTCTCTTCCCAGGCTATTTCCTGTGCAGTTGTAATGTCATGGTCCATGGTAATGGTTTCCTGGTACAACAAGATTGTTACTTATTTAAGGAGTGGGCTAAAAATAAAGACGCTTCTGAACATGAGTCAATCACTGGGCAATTGTCTTGGTGCAGTTCAGCTAAATGACTAAAAAAATGACACACAGCTGTAGAATTGTTTGAAGCTCTACATCCTGAACAATGGCTTGTAATAAACTTTAAATGACACCACATTCTGGGACACAATTTTAAAAACACACCATAGAAAACTCAATGCTATGCTATAGATGATGCTATAGAAACTGTCATACTTTATACACATAATTGCTTTTGACTGAAAAAACTTGTGTGGAGTCAGACTACTTCATTGTACGCATAAAAACACAGGAAGAGAAAAAATGTCAATGCTCAGCATCTCTGCAGAGTAACAAACGACCACACACTTCATTTTAAATGAGTGAATAATTGTAAATGTGAATAAAGTTTTTCTCTTACCGTCTGAGCAGTCCACCCCGATGTAGCCCTCGTCACACACGCACTGACCGTTCACACAGCGGCCTTTATCCTGACAGTTGTTCAGGCAGCTTAGCTTTTCACAGCTCTCTCCTTCATATCCACTCGTACACGAGCACTTTCCTTTGATGCATCGCCCCCTGTCGTTGCAGTTCTCCGGACAGGCGAGAATAGAGCAGTCGTCTCCAGAGTAACCTTCCTTACAGACACATACGCCATCTAAACACTGGCCTTGAGCCATGCAGTCGTTGGGACAGGCCTTCTGGCTGCAGTCCTCTCCTGAGAAGCCTTCATCACAAACACACTGACCGCCGACGCAGCGGCCGCGGCTGTGGCAGTTGTTCGGGCAGCTCAGTTCGCTGCAGTCCACACCAGTGAACCCTGCGTGACACGCGCATAGTCCGTCGATGCATTCGCCGCGGCCATGACAGTTTGCTGGGCAGGTCTTGACGCTGCAGTCCTCCCCAGCGTATCCTTCGTCACAAACACACTGGCCGTTAACACAGCGCCCTCTCTGTCTGCAGTCCCGGGGGCAAGAGAGCTCGGAACAATCGGCTCCCTGGAAACCAACGTCGCATGCACACTGTCCATTTATGCATTGGCCTCTGTTGTTGCAGTTGTTCAAACACGCTAACTGGCTGCAGTCTTCACCTTGATAACCTGTGTCGCAGATACACATGCCATTGAAGCAGGTTCCTCTGCCGTTACAGTCGTGCAGGCAGGTGAGCACCGAGCAGTCCTCCCCACTGTAGCCTGCACTGCAGAAGCATTTCCCATCAACACAGAAGCCGTTGCCCTGGCAGTGGTTGGGACATGTGCGCTCACTGCAGTCCTCCCCGGTGTAGCCCTCATCACAGTAGCAGGTTCCATTCACACAGCGCCCGTGGTCATTGCAGTGTTTGGGACAGATCAGCTCCGAGCAGTCAGCACCAGTCCAGGGATCGTCACACACACAGTTCCCATCACTGCACTGGCCGCGGCCTTGACAGTTGTTCAGGCACTTTGTCTCGGAGCAGTTTTCCCCCAAGAAACCATCAGAGCAGACGCAGACGCTGCCAACACATCGGCCATGAGCTCCACAGTCCACAGGGCAGACCTCCAACGAGCAGTTCTCTCCAGAGAAGCCTTTGAAGCACTGACACTTTCCGTCCACACAGAGGCCTCGGTCCAGGCAGTTACTGGGACACTCAGGCTCGGTGCAGTTGGTTCCCTTCCATCCTGGCGCACATACACAGCCACAGGTGTCAGTACTGTAGTTTCCATGGCCGTTGCAGTAAGGCTTGACTGCAACATCACCTTTCATTGAAAGCAGAAGGAGAGTCACCTTTTAATATTGAAAAATGTGAGGGGAACACAAACTCGAAATTCGAGGTTACATTAAAAACAGTTTCTCTGTGGTACCTGATGAAACTTTGTCTTCACAACTGGGCTTGACCTTTTGGTAAAATCACTAGAGTAATCTGTTGTCTTGTCAGTAGTTAGCTTATAATTAAAAACAATTGTAGGCATTCATTGACATTGATAGTTTTTGAAAACAGAAAGTATCATAGAAACTGCCGCATTAAACAGGCCTAAGAAAATCCTATCAGATCCTAATGCAACTCTTAATGTGAGTATACTGTTACAAGAGATGGATTCCATTTTTGGGACTAAAGGGACTGATCTGCTAACATGATTTATTTCCACCAGTAAACTTGGGATTCCCCAAGGTTCAGTGTTCGGTCCTGCTTTATTTACATTATATTATGAGAAAGCGCAGTATTAACTTTTATTGCATTTGTACATGTACAAGTATTGTACAAGTATTAACCAATGCAGCTAAATAAAACAAATCTGGTTGTTAAAATTCAGGAATATTTCAAAGACTTTAAGACCTAGAAGCAGACCAGATCAAACTGAAGTAATTCTACCTGAAAATCTGAAAGAGGATTTCATATCTTCTCCTGCACCAAAGTCTTTATTATTTTCATTTACCTAGTTTGTCTCTTTCTATTTAGTTGATATTTACCAGACACCAAATCAGCTTATACAGGTTCCAGGGTTATTGTTGTGTTGCTGTTGAAGAAAACCTTTAAAGGCATGTGCTAATACACTGCTGTGAGTATTTAATTGTCAGCAGTTGGATGAGATGGGTAGAGTATACATTGTTTTGAAATTTAAAACATTAACACATTAGGACAAAAAAGTTTCTTTCATGAGCAAAAATGCAGCAAAATCCTTCTAAACAACAGAAACTGACGTTTCATCAAGTTTACCAACTGACTGACGTATCTGAGGTTTACTTTGGCAGCTTCTTAAGTACATTTGTTCCTCTAACTTATATAACAGCATCAGCATGTAAAGTACTCGAGCCAAATCATGCCCCATTTAAGTTCACTGCAGTGGTCCGTGCCCATATAATCCTAAAGAGCTGTACAAAAGATGGATGGAGCAGATGGCGGCCGTTTTAATGCATTATTCCGAGAAGTTGTGGTTTATTTTACTGTATGGCACTAATACGAGTGAGAGGCAAAAACCCACCTGTGACCTGTGCGTTGCAGCCGCCACTCCCACTGCTGCACTGACTTCTCAACGCTGAGACTTCTCCCTCAAGTATCTCCAGTCGGTTCAGAAGTTCTTTCACGCCGGGCAGGTCCTCAGTACAGCCGCAGGCCTGCCGAGGTATATTTATGCGGTGAGTGAAGACGATCTGGTTCTCTCCATTGACTATTTGCTCAGTGATGTGACGGCCTGATGACGCAGGTTCATCTTTGGGTTGAACTGATGTGCTTTCTCCCGCGTCCACATCCACTGAGCACCGAGAGCTGCCGGGAACATTGATGTTGTAGACGTGATTAAAAATCACAGGGCCGTCCACGGTGGGCAAGGTGATGTTATGTTGTTTACGAGGAGCCGGCGCCTGTCGTCGATGACGTAGGATTTTCTTCACCAGCCCAGCTTCTGATACGCTGAGCAAGGACGTCAGGAGGAGGCAGCTCAGCAGAACAGTTGGCCCCATCGCCAAAATCAGCTGATTCAGTAGGATCGGTGTTTTGTTTTTGTTTTTTTTCAATACTGGCTCTTTTTAACTGTAAATGTAAATGTCTAGAAACAGAAAGAAAAAAAATTATACAATCGGCTACAATGTGCAGTGAACACATTAAAGTGTCCAGTGGGTTTATCAAAAGCAACACTACTTTTGCCACCTACTGGAACTGTAAAAAAAATAGATCCAGTAGGTGGCAGTTATGCAACTCGGAGGATGCTAGCTGACGTTAACACCAACACCTCTGAACAAACCTTAAATGAGTTAATAATGTCTTAGAAGGTTTGAGAATGCCAAATAAACATTTTAGGATTGAAGAACGTTGCTTTACACTTTCGGGATGTGTACTGAATCAATGTGTTAGATAATGGGTTTAACAACATTGGGTGGAGGAGCAAAACAAACAAAACAGAACTACAGGCCCCAGGCAAGGGTAGCAATAAATCCTGCTAATGGCCTGTGCTGCTGTGATCTGGTGCATTTCTGATTATGGGATTGCTGAAGGGAAGAATCACAGTTCAGAAAGTTTCAGGATACGATTTATACAAACAATGGCTCAAATTATTGTACAAATTCACCAACTTATTCCTGCTCCAGACTTTAGCTGTGTTTTCTTTATTCTGTGAGGGGACACACGTCCCCATGATTGGATATCCGTTAACACGGCCCGCCTTCTTACAGTTCAGGTACAGTTAACATGACCAGATGAGCACTGATTGGACTTTCATCGGTTGACGAGTGGATCAGAACCTTTCATCATCATTTATCCTCACTAAACATCATTATTAGTTTTCCTTTAGTTTCCATCTTAGAAATGAAAGTCAAAATACTAGGCATTTACTCTCTATTTACAGTACTGTTAAATTGGAATCATTATTATTTTTCTACATGTTATATGTCATATACTGCTCTGTCCAATGGTAGCTGAGATGTGTCAAGTTACTTATTTTCACCAGTGCCCTCTGAAGCCAATGTCCAAGACCTTCCTTAAGTTGCCAGCTGAGAGGTGAACCAGACTCACTGCAGTAATAACACATTAGTGGAACAATTGTATTAATCACGCAGCAGAACTGTCGACAATGAATCTCACCAGTAAACCCTACAATTTCGAACAAATACATCACTGACGTGTTTGTTTAGTGACGCAATACTCACTAAACAAACATTTCTTTCTACATTTATTGCTCCCAGTTAACCACAGTGGTAAATGCAGTGTTATTCTAAAAAAGGATTTAATACCAAAGAATCCACACTTGTGTTGGCATGTCAGCTTGTCACTGTCAACTTGACTTTTCACATTACTGCCCCACATTATACCCCCGAGACTTTCCTGAATTTATAATCTGGTAAAATAATATGAAAAAGAAATCACTCCACAGACTCAATCCATCACAGCCACCAACTGTTAAACAAGACACGGAGAACACTATAATTTGTGGGAGACAAACTAGAACTAATGACAAGCTTCATCCTCCAGTCCCAGACCTACAGTGTTGCTCAGTTTCCAGAGGATCTGGATCAGCACGTGATGGTGAACTTCAACACAGAGAGCAACAGAGTCCTGTATATACAGTACTACCAACAGAATATTGATGCTAAATGTAGTTGTAGCTGTTCATCATTTACTACTTGATCCTTTCACACTGAGTCTGGAAGACTGGAATAATTTTTCATCCTCGAACAGTATTTTTTTTTTGTATGTTTGCAGGCTGCTGTGTGTGGCAGCAAAACTGCATTTCTGTAAAGATATAAAACTTTGGCCACTGACAGATTTATGGATTTGGTCCAGATTTTATAGTCTACTTGCTACAACAGTCGCTGTGTGATGTGTTCGCACACATGGAACCACGTGACAAACGTTGACTTTTACAAAACAGTTTTGCACACAGTTAAACATGATGTGCATTTGAGCCAAATATATATTGTTACAATAAAAGTAGAATGTTGTCAACCATTGTGGGGTTACGCTCGAGTCCCCACATGGCCTTTTTCACTGTTTTTTACCGTGCTATATTTGTTACTTTCTTAGTAGTTAGTGTCTAATAAGGAAGTTAATGTACAAATAATTTATGATGAATAATATATATGATAAATATATATATGATAAATAATAATAATAAATAAATATGAATAATTTCCATCTGTTTGAAAGTCATTTCTCTGGCACTTTGCTTCAGTTAGAAGATACACAATACACAATTCTCTTCTTTCAAACATTGTTCTCCATTTCTTTCTGTCTATATATATTCCTTTGGCACATCTTTGACTGTTATCTTTATATGTACTTCATCTAATGCCTCAGTACTGAATTTATAAATATTGTAAAAACAGTATTGGGAAAATATTTCACTGTTTGTGGTGATCTCTGATCAACATTAAGCATATGACATATTTTGGGAAGAATTGGAAACACTAAGTCATTTCTAGCCATCAGGGAAAATGTGCTCCTCATATTTCTCTTCAGTTAAACTTGACATGTCACACTAAAAGTGTCCAAAATAGAGTTCAGAGAGAAAATGCCAAGCTGTCTTATCAACTCCTTTTCCCCTTTTATTGTTCTGACCTTTGACCGTCCTCTGACCTTACCATTCTCGTTCAAATGATTTAAGCAGTGTTTATAAACCTCCTAAAGTAATCTGTTAAGACACACAGAGAGATAAAGTTTCACAAGTCACCACACATCTGGCAGAGGCCATGGTTATGGCAGGTCACGGCTGTTCCTTCAAATATTAAAATTAGGTCTCGGAGTGTGTCTTTGATGCCCTGACCTCCTTAAGAGGATTTTACAACACCCACACTGTGATAATTTATAGCCATGGAAGAAAAGAATGAAACCCTGAAAACCTCAGCATCGCCCAGGGTAAAAAGTAAACACTTGACTTAAGGACGCTTTAAATTATCATTCTCGTACTCAAACATAATAAAAATAAAACAGGAAACTGCAGCCCAATGTGGTTCCTCAGGGACTCAAACCCAGGACCTTTTGTGTGTAAGGCAGACGTGTAAATGTGTGGTAACTGCTACACAATATTAGCAAATATAAATGTTGACAAATATAAACATTATTGGATGCTATTTTGAATTGTTAACAATGACACTTGGCATCAACTCACGGCTAAATGTGCAGTAAAGAACAATTCATTATGTCATAGACTGCAGTTAAAAGGTAAGCAGTGACTCCACACTGCACCAACTGAGTTAATACTACTAATACTGTAGAGAGTGCAGTAAAAATGATTTATTGTGACTATAATAAGTGATTTGACTATAGTCTTCCATTTAATAAAATTGCGGTGAAGTCTTTTTAAAAGAGAAGATTAAAAGTCTTTGATGAAGTTCTTCTGATCATAAAAAGGTGACTGGCACTGGCAGAAACCAACATTATGTCCTTCATAGCAGACTTAAGGGCTGACCGAGGACACCCGTTTGGATCACTGGGACACAGAAGGCAATTTTGGCAGAAGGGTCAAATAACCATAACTAGTTCATTGAGTAATAATCCAGAATAACTGCAGCTTTCATGGTCTTCCCCCACGCTGGCAGCAAAAAAGAAACTTTCCCACGTGGAAAAGAGAAACCGGGAATGTTGGCTCTGGACTGATGACATCTGTTTTGCCTTGTCCGACAAAAAAGCACTGAGGTACTGTGTCATGTGTCCAGACTATGGCTCAGTCACGTCTGCCCTAAATAATACCTAAGACAAATTACAATCTGAATTTGTCTGAGTGATACAAACCACAAATATTCAAAAGAACACTACAGTACGTCCATTCAACAACAGAGTTTGAGTGGAAGTAACAGTGTGCCAATTCTCAGGTCAGTGACAAATATAAATCCAATACATCTGTTTGATTTGCCCATCCATGATACACATTTCAGTCTCTTTGTTTTCCATGAATGGTAACGTCTTATTGTCAAAACATCTGGAGCAGCAGGAAATCACCAAAGGAGAATGGATGTAATTGGAGCGAGCAGCGGTACAATGATGGAAACTGCAACAGCTCATTAACAGCTTGCAAATTGTTCCTCTGCTGCACATTCTACAGTCTATATGTTTAGCATTCCTTTGGGAAATATAAACCGGCATGTTGTTCTCCAGGTGAAGGTGGGAAAGAGGCATATACTGTACATATACTGTGTGTGTGTAAATATATATATATATATGTATATATATATATGGATAATTATAATTATAAATTATATATATAGACATAAATACATATGTGTATATATATAAATATATACACAAAGCATTTATATGTAATGTATATATGTAATTTATAATTATAATTATCCATATCAGTTATATATATAAAATTGATTTTCTTGATGAAGATGTTTTGAATTAATAATCAGTATAAGATCATAATTTGTGACTAGATTTGAAGGTTGCGGGTTCTATTCCATGTTGGGTTAATGTCAACAAAGGCAAACTGTTACATAAACCCGTGACTAAGGGCAAAAGCTGAAAGTGATTCTTCACTTTCATCACTGGTAGTAGACGTTAATTAGCAAGCCGTTCAACTGCTTCCAAACATCTGTCCAAACACCTGACTTCAGACAGGTTTACTGTGACTGTGACTCAGAAATGCAGTGATACAACCACAAAACTATTCACTGTACTGTAATTTCTGAGAAAAACAGACATCCAGAGTAACTGGACCAATAACTCAGAGTGCTGCCCCTGCTGACACTTGGTGTCACTGCTGTCAAAGCGCACAACTACAACTCTGTTTCTTCACCCACCCTGGAATTTAGGGCACTGCAGAAGAGGGAAAAAAAAAAAAAGAGAAATACGCCAACACATTTTACAGATAACGAAGAGGCGCGAGATGATGAGTTACGATCTTCCCTCTGCTCTTTGTGCAGAGGTCACACTGAAAGAAACAGTGTAGGAAGATCCCCCCGGGGGCATATATCTGCCAAAACAGCTGTCCTGCTCTCAGCGGTTTGGACAGGGAGACACTGTCATACGCACATGTGAGGACAACCAGTGAGGTTATGGTTATGACATGATGTGTAACACTGGGATGTACTGCACAACAGATCAAACAGAAGTCGAAACCAGCATCCGCAGGATTGATTTCAATTAAGCACAGCTAATACACTGTGTGGTTCAGGTGATTTTTCCTTCTACCCACACTCACAAAATTCTCAAGATTGAACCACACTTTTCCCATCGTTTGGTCTCAGTGATGGAAAAAATGCATGCAGTGAAAACAGCACTGTTGAAGGTAACGTGGTGAATCATCAGGCTGCAAAACCTCAACAGACAAAAATAATCAGAAAGCCCTGCACACTCAGATGAAGACCGTTACAAACCACTGCTCACCACTGCAAACACACACTCACACGGACTTTTACATTCTTGTGGATAGTGATGTAGAACCTGACAGACTGTGAGAACGGTTTTTGGAATCGACTGAACTGCTGGCACTTCTCGGAAAATTCCTAAAGCACTGGATAACTTTTTACGTACAATCATCAACTGGTTGTTAAAAAGCCTTTCAAATCAGGAGTGTACATTAAGGAACAATGCTCTGCTATTAAATTTAAAAATCATAATCCATAAAAGTTCACCCTTTGTTCAGCATCTAAATAATCCAAAAACACATCCCCTCACCTGTTCTTTTCCCTGCACCCCCTGCAGGTCAGTCGAGGTCTTCACACATTCAGTAAATCTGAGCTCGTGCCACAGTTTTGCAGCCTCTCATGCAGGGTGACAGTTGTGTCAGTCCTCCTTCCACCAGCTCCTTATCCTCCCTCAGTGTTCACAGCTCAGCCCAGGCTTTGGCTTCTTCACTGACAGAGAGAAAAAAGACAGAGTGAGGCAGAGAGTGAGGGAGAGAGAGAGAGAGAGAGAGAGAGAGTGAAGAGAGAGGCAGTAAATGTGTTTGAAATTGTGAGGAGTGTTTAGAGGTCTGACCCCCATTGCTTTTTGCGCCAACCCCTTAAATAGCCGCCACTCTCCCTCCTTCCTCCGTCATTTTCCCTCCCCGGTTGCAACTAATGGATGCAGAGCTGAGCTGCTGCCTTTAAATACTGTAAGATGCCAGTAGAACCAGGAGTCATGAGAGAGTGAGCGGCGCTTGTGGTCATGCAGGAAAATTAGAGAGGAAAGATGGCAATGAGAAGAAAGTAAAGTCCGATTGTAGACAGCAGGCAGACGCTCGCCCTCAGCTGTATTAATTTTGGAATAAGCATTTGTGGTTTTTATGCAGCACGATGAAGGCTGTAAAAATACTGTAGTATAAACCAAAGTCATTCAGTGTGCTCAGATTTTATGTCTTATTTCAGGGATTCCTCCTTGGATCAGCCAGGGTCCTTATTTCCATACTTAACACTAATCCCTCAGCTCACAGATCTGGTGTGTGAATCACTCTCCCTGGGACTTTGGACACGGTTACGACTGAATCGGATTTGAAGTCAAATTGTTCCTAAAATATACGGCTTAAATGAGGTGTAAAATGAATAATGACGTGAAAGAACATTCTCGATTAAAATATTCTCTGGTCTGGCACAGGAGGATTTATTTATATACTTTCTTATAAAAGAAAACAGGGTTAGAGTGAAAACAGCAGATAAAATGGTGAATACAGTTGGTGAATATAGACTTGAAAATCTCTCAGTGGTGAAACCACAATCTTTATCTTTGTGTTACACTCACTTTTGACATAGAGGGTCAGATATTTTCCGGACAGACACCTTGGAGGCCGGACACTTTAGTGTATAATGAAATAAAAATCACACTTTTTCCGACATTATTATTTGATGTTTACTTTGGAATCCAGACACGGGCTGGACTGGATGGTTTAATGGGCTGGATTTGGCCCATGGGCCGTCAGTTGACTGTTGCAAGAAGATTTAAATCCTACCATCACATTACAGTAGTGTTTGCACCAAATGTCATTTAATATGGCAAACTGTGGCTGAAGCAGAGAGAACTCTGACTCCTCCAGATTAGAAAAGCATTATTAGGGTGGAAACTAAGCAGCAGTGATGACTCTAGGACTTCTTTAATGGTTATATATTCAACAGCTGGGGAACTGGACAATAAGCATTTCAGTTTGGAATCCACTGTTATGACACAGTCACAGTGCCATGGCTTTTGGTTCAAAGACTCAGATTAAAATGAGGATAATATGGAAGTGAAAGCTGATGGATGGAGTTTTCTGATGAAAAGAATTTCATAGGTCATAAAAACAAAATCATTTTAATACAATGAAATTGGACCAAATGGTGGAAGAAGTGTTTAGGACTTTTGGTTTGTAGCAAAGAGAACATTGGTTTCACAAACTGGTGGATGGATGGATGGATGGATGGATGGATGGATGGATAGATAGATGGATAGATGAACAAATAGACAGATAGATAGATAGTTGGAACCACAGTGTATTTCTTTACTCATACACTGAATATTAGTAATCAACACCTTGTTGCCTAACAATTTTTGTTTTAAAATCCCAAATGAAAAGTAGCCATGCCAAAGATAATTTAATCCTACCAACAACAAACATTGTGAACACAGCGGAACATGAGCCAATGAAGAGTTGGAACATCACACTGAGGCAACAATGCAGTATTGTTAATGAAACTGCAGTTGATCTTTCCAAAGACGTGACATAATTGCTGATGTTGCACATGCGTCAAATCAGATGCTCTGCTTGTCGACAGACTACTGTTGTCTGGTGAAAAATGTGTCGGTTTAAACCTAAAACAAATCAAGACTCTGTAATGTCCACTTTTTTATAGTCCTTATAAATGAAAAAAAGACAAACTGAAAACAGCCTGAACAGCAGGGGAATTGCATAGGTACAATATTTACAGCTGGAGATTGTGCTTTATCCTGTAGTCACACTCTAAGATCAAAGTATGGTGGCCTTCTGACTGTAAAGGAACACAAAGTAGACTTGTCACTTTTCATTGCAGGATGGTATTTCAGGACACAAACATACAAAGACACCAAGTGTCTGTAATTTAAAGCCTTGTAATGCAATACAGGAAGCATTGGCGTGTCTCAAACAGAATTCACATATGTGTGGAGAGGATCCTCCGACGAGCAGGAAGATAAAATCGTAAATTCTGCTGCCATTCATCAAATCAACTCTTTTCTTGAGCCTTTAAAAGACCCCAGGGATCCAGTCTTGGGGAGGGGGGAGAGAAGGGAGGGTTCCCACATAATGAGAAAATGTGCATAGAATGAACTAAATGGATCGCACTACGGCCCCCTTTTATTTAAAACTGCACATGTGTTTCAAATACTCTTTAATACAATCCATGTGGTAAATAAAAACCTGCAGATATGGAAGCTGTTGCTACCGACAATAAACAGCAGTTTATAACAAGATATCTGCTATCTACCATGACTTACACGCTTGAATGAAAAACAACTGGAAACCAGACCAGGAGGAGACGCGACACGAGCTGACACCAACCAGACGACCGTTTACTACATCACAGGAGGAAACATGTTTGTGTCGAATCAGAATACCACAATACCGCTGTTTGTTTTTGATTTACACTGTGTACCGTAACTAACAGTGGGATGGTGGTTGGTGTTCCTGCCTTACAGCAAGAAGATCACTAGTTCAAGGACCAATGCCATGAAAACAGATGACGTTTCTTTATGGATTTTTTTTTTTTTTTTTTTTACAAAGAACCTTAAGATTACAGAAGGTCACGAAAATGAAAATGCGTCCTATCTTTAAGTTAAATGTTTAAAATGCCACATTAAGCCCCGTCACTGAAGTTTTGTTTTTTATACATCAAATACCATGTGAACCATCTGTTCACTCACTGTTGCCCCTAAACTCAGTCAATACACAATGACACGCTGTTATTTGAACACATTACAGGAAAACGTTTTAGTTTCACAAAGCAACTGTATCTTAAAATACCATCTCGAAGCTGAGGGGATTCAAGTCCAACACTGTCTGGTGTCAGCCCAGCAGTAAGTAAGTGTACAGCCGACAAGTTGACTAACATGACTGTCAAATGGACTGCGAACACTGTAGACAGATTATTATTATTGGCAACATTTATGAGTATTCTGAAGACTATCATTAAGATATTCCTTTTCCACCACATAGCAAAGAAAACGAGAAGTCATTTTGTTAATCAACAATTTTATTTCCACTGGTTCCAAGCTTTTACTGGTCAAACCATTCATGAATAAATCTGTCCAGCAGATGGTTCTGTGAGAAGACTTCTGTGGCCAGACCGAAACCGATGTGTTTAAAACAACACAGGTGTCTTGGTGTGGAGGAATAAAGTAGGTGTGAAAGACACTCACTCTGTGTTCCACAACAGTAAAAGAGAACGGTTTTGTTCTGAGGCCAGAAAAATGTGCCTTTCCTCTGAACACACCTCAGAGAATAGTTTTAGCAGAATTAAATGAAAAACTGAAGGATTTAAGACCAAATAGTAGACAATCTTATTTCTCTTCGCAAGTTTTCAAAAGAACTGGCTACTGAGTATAATACCAGTGACTTGACACCAAAAATCGAGTTCTCCTGAGACTTCACAGTTTGGACTTCATCTAAACAGTTATTGGCAGTTTCTAAAATTACAGCCGATTTCTTCGCTCCGTCCAAATATCTTGTCCTGCAGCACGGTCCGGTTCTCTAAGATCTTAATTTTAACATACTTATACTGGCACAGAATAAAAAAGCTCCTGTCCAACCTTTAGGAGAAGGTTATAATCAGGAAGCTTTATGGGTCACAGTTAATTTAGGTTAAACCAAATATGCACAGCGTGTTCTACAAAGGGTTCACCGTCTCATTTACATGCATTTTCAGCAGTTTATAACTTGAAAGGCTTGATCCCTGCACACCCATGTTACAAAATGGCAGATTGTTTGAACTGTTACCAGCTTCACCAAGAATGATTTAGTTTGTCGCTGCCTACGTTGAAATATTTACGTGGCTACTTACAGTGTTTAATTATGCAGGTAGACCATTCTGTATATATAATTACCGTTCATTGCCACGTGCAAATGAATCTTAAGTAGAATGCATACTATTTATACCTTGTGATCTTTTTCCAGTTAAAGAGTACAAGCCTGAGGGGAAGAAACAACAGGGAATGGTCTAAGTCGCTGTGTCTCTGGGGCCCGTTTATCTTTTCTCCTGTAACTGCAAATCTTAGCAAAATAGACATTATATAAAGGCATTTAAATCATCTTTAAAGTTTAAACTTTAAAGTTTAGACTTATTTATAACGTAATTTATAACAGTGTCACATTATTTTTACTCTGGCAATTTTTTTTATTTCTTGTCAATCTCATTGAATTCAGCTCTTTTTAAAGTTACTGGTTATTGTTTTTTTAATTATTATTTAGATAGTGTAACAAGAATCATTACATCATTTTGTTTCAGTGGCCACATACAGCCAGACAAGTGGGCCGGACGGATGAAAAATATTCATATTTAATTAAATATTATTTTGACAAAAGATCACAAACATGAAATGTTTCTGTTTTTTCAGTTTTTTTTACATTTAAAATTCATCAAGCAGGCCAAATTAAACCCCTAGTTGGCCGGTTTTGGCCCGCGGGCCGTATGTTTGACAACCCTGTTCTATACAGTACCTTACAAGACCAAAGTTTAAAATCAATGTTTAATGTCAAGTTCCATGTAAAGTAAACTTCCTACTGGGCAGTTTTTATACGGACCATTCTTCAGCCAAATCATTAATGTGAAGTTAAACATTAAGCGGACTTGATGAAATACAGTTCAGTTGCTAGAAAGTTGGAGTTGCTTCACTTGTATAAAACATTGAGCTTAAAATGATTGTGGTTTGA